GGGGGGGGGAAAGGGGGGATTGAGGTGGGAAAGGGAGGATTTGGGGGGGAAATGTGGGATTGGGGGGCAAAATGTGGAATTAGAGAGGAAAAAAGGGGGGATCAAGGTGGGAAAGGGGGGATTTGGGGGGGAAAAGGGGGGATTTGGGGGGGAAAATGTGGGATTTGGGGGGGAAATTTGGGATTTGGGGGGAAGAAAATGTGGGATTTGGAGAGAATAAAATGTGGGATTTGGAGAAAAGGGGGGATTGGGGTGGGAAAGGGGGGATTGGGGTGAGGAAAACATGAGAATTGGGGTGGGAAATGAGGGATTTGGAGGGAAAATGTGGGATTTGGGGGAGAAAATGTGGGATTTGGGAGCCATGTGGGATTTGGGAGCCATTTGGGATTGGGAGGATGTTGGATTGATGTTTCCCCCCTCCGTGTCCCCCCCCAGGTGCAGGAGCTGATCATCAACAAGGATCCGACTCTGCTGGACAACTTCCTGGATGTGAGTGGGATTGGGATGGATCCCGATGGTTGGGATGGATCCAGGGGGACTGGGATGGATCCAGAGGGGCTGGGATGGATCCAGAGGGGTTGGGATGGATCCAGAGGGGTTGGGATGGATCCCAAGGCTGTGGGATGGATCCAGAGGGTTGGGATGGATCCAGAGTCTGTGGGATGGATCCAGAGGGGTTGGGATGGATCCCGAGGGGCTGGGATGGATCCCGAGGGGTTGGGATGGATCCAGAGGGTTGGGATGAATCCAGAGGGTGTGGGATGGATCCAGAGGGTCTGGGATGGATTCAGAGGGGTTGGGATGGATCCCGAGGGGCTGGGATGGATCCAGAGGCTGTGGGATGGATCCAGAGGGTTGGGATGGATTCAGAGGGGGTTGGGATGGATCCAGAGGGTTGGGATGGATCCAGAGGGTGTGGGATGGATCCAGAGGGTTGGGATGGATCCAGGAGGGGTTGGGATGGATCCAGAGGATTGGGATTGATCCAGAGGGTGTGGGATGGATCCAGAGACTCTGGGATGGATCCAGAGGGTCTGGGATGGATCCCGAGGGGTTGGGATGGATCCAGAGGGGCTTGGATGGATCCCGAGGGGTTGGGATGGATCCCGAGGGGTTGGGATGGATCCCGAGGCTGTGGGATGGATCCAGAGGGGCTGGGATGGATCCAGGGGGGTTGGGAAGGATCCAGAGTCTGTGGGATGGATCCAGAGTCTGTAGGATGGATCCAGAGGGGTTGGGATGGATCCCGAGGGGCTGGAATGGATCCAGAGGGGTTGGGAAGGATCCAGAGGGTGTGGGATGGATCCAGGGGGTGTGGGATGGATCCAGAGGGGTTGGGATGGATCCAGAGGGGTTGGGATGGATCCCGAGGGTTGGGATGGATCCAGGGGGGTTGGGATGGATCCAGAGGGGCTGGGAAGGATCCCGAGGCTGTGGGATGGATCCATCCCGGTGTTGACCCCCCCCTTTCCCAGGAAATCATCGCCTTCCAGGCCGACAAATCCATCGAGGTTCGGAAGTTCGTGGTGGGATTCATCGAGGAGGCCTGGTGAGGGTCTGGGGGGCTCAGCACCCAATTTTGGGGGGGTCAGCACCCATTTTTGGGCTCAGTGTCACCCAGCCCCCATCCCAGTGTCCAGATGTTCCCCCATCCCATTTTTTTGGGACCCCCCTGAGGATCTGGGGGTGCCAAGCACTGGGGGGGGTGACCCCGGGGGGGGTTATTTGGGGAGGGGGCTCAGCACCCATTTGGGGGGGTCAGCACCCATTTTTGGGCTCAGTGTCACCCTGGGGGGGTCAGTGTCACCCAGGTCCCATCCCAGTGTCCGGATGTTGCCCCATCCCAGTTTTTTGGGTCCCCCCCGGGATCTGGGGGTGCCCGGGTGACCCCGGGGGGGGTTATTTGGGGAGGGGTCTCAACCCCCATTTGGGGGGCTCAGCACCCACTTTTGGGCTCAGTGTCACCCTGGGGGTCTCAGTGTCACCCACTCCCCATCCCAATGTCTGGATGTTCCCCCATCCCAAATTTGGGGCCTCCCTGGGATCTG